ATATATATATATATATATATATATATATAAAGATTGAACCAAATAAAAAAAATATTTTAAAATTAATAAAAATGTTAAATATGTTATCATTATGAAGTTTATAAATTATTTTTCCTTTGACCAATTTTATTTTAAAAAAATTAAGTTCATCAATAATATTTGATTCAAATCATTTACTCTATTTTTTTTTACCATTTGTAAAGTGAAATAAAAAAAATGAAAAATAACAATGTCTAACTCTAATGAAAGATTTGATTATATTGGTTAATTGTTAGCTTTTAACAGAAATTTTTTTAGTAAATACAATTATATAAAAGTCGTTCACCGGATAGAAAATTTAGTTACATAATTACAATTAAGGAATTAATGAAAGTAGAAACAAATGATAAAAGATTAATAATATAAAATATAAAAAAGAAAAAACTAACCTGGTGCTAAAAAAAAATAGACACCGAATTAAGTGCAAGATACAAAGGAAAAGAAAGGAAACGCCACATCAAAATATAAAAAAGACTGTATATACCGATATTTTAAAACAATAATTGAAAAAGAAATAGAAGCAAATGTTACCAGAATAGGATGATTATAAATTTAATGTAAGAAGCTCCTTGATGTCTTATCTGGTGTTCTTCAATACGCGAAGAACTTTTGACTTTTTCCAATGGTTTATTATGATGAAAAAAGTCCGTGTATAGGTAGGATGTGAAAGAGGCAGGATGCTTATAAGTTATAAGTAATAGTTTTCCCTTATCCTTTCATCAAATAAATATCGATAAGATATCCGATCATATATTCGTCTAAGTATTTATCAACTAAATATCCACAAATATTTTCTTAAAAAACATATCTTAACAATATTTAACAAAATAATCTAATCATGTAACATTTTTTTTTTAAATTTATAAAAATCTGTATAATTTTTTTTTTTGAAAATCATAACTGAAATTCAAATAAAATCTGGATATTTTTTTTTTAAATTATAAAATTTAAATATAAATATTTTTCACAATTATATTAATAAGAATACGTAGATTTTAAAACTAAGTTTTAATTTAATGTTCAAAATATAATTATTAAAATAAAATATTTCAATTACACATATATCAAAATAAAAGATAATAAATACAATACTTAATTATTATAAGTCCAAACAAAGTTTAAATAAAATTAAATTCATTAAAATTTAAATAAAATTACAAAAGTCAATAAAATTACTTTCAACAATCTTAAAAACATCCTAAAAATTAAAATATTAGTGAGTTCAACAAAATAAAGTCAATATATTTTATCTTTTAAAAATACTAAATAAATAAATTTAACAATTTTTAAATTTCATGTAAATTTAGGGGAAAAAAATCTTAAAATAATGAGGAAAAAAGCGTCATCATTATCAACAACAACCAAACAAATTACAATTTTAAGCAAATTCTATTGAGCTTTAGTTACCAAAAAATATCCAATATAGTTAATCAAAATCTAATTCATTACGAGGCTAAAAGATTACTAAATTATCATTTATCTTTCCAAATATTTTGCTGAGTAGTTACGATTCTATCTATTATCCCAACAAATTGATATTGAGACAGCTAGGATATATTTTATACATGTCAAAACTACCGAACAATAAGAATTGCTAGTAGCGTTTAAAAATTAATGGTAGAAACCAACCTGTTAGCAATCCACATTACAACATTTTCTAACTGTCATGTCAGGGCAACAGCTAATGACTTATAACTGACTATTCTACAAAATTCTAACCGTCTATTCTACAAATCTATCGTATCAAACACTGAATTTGAAATTAACAAATATAACTTGGCAATTTTATTTTGAAATAACAGCTTTTTTCATTATGAAACATAGATTCGTATTTTAAACCCTACACACTAAAACAAATATAATTTTAAAATTACACCAAGGTGTATATATAGAGCTTTTTTCATTATGAAACTGATTCGTATTTTATTCATCGATTCATGACTCTTCAGCATATACAGGCAAATGGATTGAGACTTTAAAAAATGAACGACTACAACTTTAGTCCAACAAAACTTTAGCCAGATCACTCGCGTACTACAAGTTGCCAAGCTACATTTTATTCAACACAAAAACGTTAAGGGAATGGATTCAAACTAAACAGTTTGGAAGATGATTTCTCAATTAGAAACTATTTAAAAACATTATTATAACCAGAAAGAATTATAAATTAGAAATAAAAAACATACCAAAAATAAAAAATTGGATGCAATGCAATTACATCCTAATGCAGTTCCTTCATGAAGTACTCGAAACAAAATGAAAAGTATTCAAGGGATAAGGATTGGGGCAATCGGCAGAAGATCATAATGAAATACTCTAGCTCATGTGAATAACAAATGTTTTTATGGAGACAATAAGTAAAATAAAGTAACACAAATAAACAAAACACACAAAAGAGCATTCGCAAAGCAACAAAATGTAAGAAACTCCTCCTAAGACATCCTCTGAGCAGCTTCCTTGGCAAGAAGCTTCTCCTTTGCCCGGGTTTTGGCTTGGGATTTGGATCCCATGATTCCACCACCCCACTTCTTCCTGTACTCGTCATATTTGTCATTGAAGTTAGCCTGAAAGGAAATCAAACACACGACACAATCAGTAACTGACCACGACGTTAACAGCAAAAAATAAATCGAAAATCTCAATCAATGCCACCTTGATAGCCTCCAACACTCTGCTGAACTCCAATTTATCTTCATTCTTAACAGTTGTCAGGCACAAAACAGATGCAGTTTTCTTATGGACAACCTGTTCAAAAACACGAATTAAAATGGTTACTTAGAGTTGTCATGAAAATTTAATCTAGTCATACAGGGTGAAAATCACAATATACAACGAAATATTACCGTTCCCAAGCGTGCCTTTCCCTTCACAATGCAGTATGGAATTTCCATCTTTCTGCACAAAGCAGGAAGCCAGACAACCAATTCAATTGGATCTACGTCATGAGCAATCACAACCAGCTGTGCTTTGTTCTGCAAGAAAAAAAAACAACATTAACCATTCAATCATTAATGTAACAAAAAACACAGGTAAAAATACAGTCACAAAGTAATAATAAAACAGAAGACAACCTGCTCAATAAGGTAGGTAACATGGTTGAGACCATACTTCACAACAATAGGCTTCTTAGCTTCAACAGTTTTGCCTTCAGCCTCAGCCTGAGCCCTTTTCAAGAGCCTCTCCTTCTTTTCTGCTTTGTCCTCTGGCCGGTACTTCAAAAGTATCTTGAACAGGCTGGTTGCTGCAGGTTAGATTAATAATTAACATCAACATTATTTACATTTTACATTAAAGAAGCTCAAAAACAGCAAAAAAATAAAGAACAAAAGTACTGAAAGTTATACAACATAAACGCAGCTAGCTTGAAATTACAAGAGTCCAAGGCAGATCAACAATCAAGAACATCGCAATCTTAATAATCACCATGGAGTGTACGAGACTATCACAACATTCATTTCAACAGCACATTATAACAGATAAGTAGATAACAGATATTATAACACCGTCATCAACATAATCAGATGCTCCCGAGGAAATAATCAAATATCGCATATGTAATCAAATAATAATAAAGAAATTAAACCTATCAGAACAACGCGCAATAATATAACAGATCCAAACATTAAGTTATTCAGACCTAGGTTTTTGTCAAGAGTCTTGGTAAATTGGTTCAAAGCTGGGGGAACCTTCAGCCTCTGCTTGAGAATCCTCTTCTTCCTCTGAATCTGAACGGTCTTCGGCCACTTCACGAACCGAGTCAGGTCTCTCTTCGGAGGCAACGCACCTCCGATCCCGAACTGCTTCGGGCGCTTCTCGAACAGCGGATTCGTAACCTTCTCCTGAGATTTCAAAACAGATAAAAGCACATTCAGAAAATAAACAGATAACCAAAACCGAATCACGAACCAGATTGAATTCGGAGCGGTTAGTTACATACAGGCTTCTTCTTTGAAGCTAGAACTGGAGCCTTTCCACCTCGTTTGGGAGCCTACAAAATTAATCAAAGTAACAAACGAAAATGATATTACTGGAGAGCGAAAGTTCAAACATAAGTAAATTCAATTTGCGGATCGAAACTGTAACATGAGCGAAGCAAATGTAGGTAAGCATGAACGGAAGTCATGGAGATAACGATTTGTTACTCACCATTGCTGCAGCTTCTGGTGTGTGGCGACGGGAGCAAAACTGACTCTCAATAAAACCCTAACTAGGGTTGTATAATATATATGTGCAATGGGCCTTGCAAGAACCCTCAAGCCCGATTCTTAACATGCTTCTCATTTAACTTTTTTTTTTTTTTTAATATTTGTTGAATTTAAAAAAAAATGATATTCATTCTGACATCATTAATCAGCTTAGCGTAAGATAGTTATTTATTTTATATAAATCAAATTTATAATAAATAAATATTTTTAATTATATAATATATTATGATTTAATTTTTTAAAAAATAATTTAAATATATAAATTATTTTTATTATGAGAAATAATTTGTATTGTGATATAAATTTATTTTTAAATTTAATTACTATTTACTATTTTATTCATATGAAAAATATAAAAGATATCGTTAAATGCATGTTAAGTTAGGAGTGTAAAATCTCTCATTTCATGAGAGGAGTATTTACACAATAATAAATATGTGAGGTGCGAAATGAAACATTTACAAAATTAATAATATTATTAATTTATACATAAAGAGTAATGTGTGCTAAAAATTAACTTATTTAAACGTTGAAAAAATTACCTTACAAGAAATTTTTATAAATAAATTTATGTATAAATTAATTTTAACTCAGATAAATTTATATTATTTTTCTTTTTTTATTTTATTTCTTATAAGTATTTATGAACAATTTTATCTAAACAAATTCTTAGTTATTTGAAGATAATATATATATATATAAATAAGTTTATTTAAACTATTTGATATTTTATTTTATTAATTTAAATTGATGAATAATTGTAAAAGTATTTTATACACTAATTTAAAGTTATATAATAAAATATCATATTATTTTCAAAATTCGTAAAAAATTATAGGTTTGATCCATATATTAAGTTTCTTAATTTAATGATTTAATTATTAAAATTTAATATAAAACATAAGTCATTCAGTACAACAAATTTTGGAGTAAGTGGAAGGTTATAAGGTGGTCTCATGGTTTAAGGGAAAGTCATATAAGATGGATGTTGGTTCAAATTCTCACATAATAACTAACAATTAATATTTGTCGATAAGTGAATCCCTCTGTCTCACAGACACGTGCGCGCGCGCACACACACACACATATATATATATAATGATTATAATAACACCGGTATAACTTTTATTAAGTATTATATCACTCAATAACTATATATTAAATGTAAATTTTGTAAATCCAACTGTTATATTGAAAATTCATTTCACTTTATATGTTTATACCAAATTTTGTTAAAATTAAACAATAACTTGATGGTAATCAAAATGTTCATATTTTGGTATATTTTGAAATGTATATATTACATCAATCTTATTTTATAAGAATAAAGTATCAAATCATCTTGAATTAATATAAAATTTTGTATATATGATTTAAGATAAATTTTTTTAATTTAACGGTTGAATTTATAAAATTCACATTTAATAAAAAGTTATTAATGATATAATATTTATATATATATATATATATATATATATATAATGTTTGCTTTGTTGTTTTAAGAGGAAATCAAGCTACACTAAAGAGTTGGAACATTCATGTGATGAATATAAAACTACCAAAACTGTTTAGTATTGTATTTGCATGGTTGAAAAAGGAATGAAAAAAAAATGGTGAAGAACCGAAAGATCATGCTTGATGCCCAAATACACCCAAGATTAAAAACTTTGGTTGAAGTCTTACTAGACAATTGTACATTTTAAAACACAAGGAAGGTTAAGCAATGCCATAAACACATTGTACAAATTAGACTTTTTTCACAAACACAATGTATCTTTAAAACCCCAACCCTATCCCCATTTCCTTCCATGCCAACGAGCTAGATTTGCAGAACTGTGGATAACAAGTGATTGGTTTTGCCACGACTAGACGCATCTAGACAGCATAAGATCTATCGTTGGAGGAGTTTTGACATTATTGTAATCACTGTCCTCTTATCCAAAGGCCTTTAACAACGTCGTCAATCTTAATTTGACATAGTTCCTCGTCTTCATTGAGGTTGACCTTCTCATCATCACACCCCTTTTTGCTCATTTGCATCCTAACAGAAGTTGTGCTCCTTATTGTGCCTATAAGGGAGACAATCATTGTCATCGTCATAGGGATACACCTTCCCCAAACCCTTCTCAATGAGTCAGTCATTCAACTTTTCAGATTCCTCTAATTGTGCAATATTTATTTTCAATGATCCTCGTTAATTTGTCTTTGGGTTTTGAGTTCTATAATGGCCAGTGATTCTTTTGCTATCTCCAGTGAAGACAACAATGACAATGTCACTCCACCACCTCACCTACACAAGACTTACCAAGTGGCAGTAGTTACCACTCGAGATTGGGGCATCAGTAAGGATAATAAATTATCCTAGCTAGAGATTTCCTATTGATCTAAACTTTTTCAAGATCACTTTGAAAACATCCAATCATTGGAAGAAGAATACCATTGCAATTGGAAGGAAAACTTGGGAGAGTATCCCTCTCGAGCACATGCCTCTTTCTAAATCACCTTAATGTTGTTCTTATTTAGTCAGCAACTTTACATTGCAACGATAAAGAATATTGTTATATGTACATTTGCATTGGATCTATTAGTTGTTTTTCATTACCCTCTATCAATTAAAATACTTGGTTGTAGCGAAACAATAGGACTCATCATCACAAAATTAAGCAAGACACTCTACAGATGCTATAGTATAGTTTATGGGTCCTATTGCTTGTCTAGTTCAAATTACAGGCAATGTTAGGGTGATTCTGGGGCTGTTTCCTACATATGTGCTTGGACTGTTTACACTCTTTTAAAGATTCATATGTTTGATGCACCCTTGGAAACTGCTATTTTGATTCTTTTGCTCGACTTGTTTAGCTTGTGGTTGAGGCTAGGCATAACTAGAAGCGTTCTTGTTGGAATGAAATATGGCTTTTTCACCCTTTGGGCTTCAACTTTTGAGGCCTTCAAACGTGATAGCGAGTCTAGGCAATTTGCTCGCTGCATTATAGATGGAACATGGGGCACTATCAAAGGCAGTTAGTTACATCATCGTTAGAGATTTTGTATATGTTACCATTCATTCCCAAGTTACTTAAAGGAGCTACGTGAATCACTTTGCTTAGATGAGTGTCAGAGGCTAAGGTTAATTCATGTTTCTGGATGTATCATCATTGGGATAATGGGATTAGTTATTTTTTTATTCCATTACAATTACTATATTAAAAAGCCCCTACCTACTATTCAAAGGCTGGTTCAAACTTTTGCATGGTTTGATTAGCAAAGAAAGTCCATTCCTTAAAAAACAGTTTGTGTCAATATTTGTGTGGCCACTAGTTGTCTTTGCCACCATTTTATTGGCTATTTTGTCAAGTATTTTTTTGTTGAAAAATTGTTTGTGCTAATTGTTGCGAGTGGTGCAACAAGAACACTAGCATTTGTTGCTATGGCAGAGAAGTTATGTGTTGAACATGTATTCTAATTTCTAAGGACCTTGAGAACAAAGTCCAAGCAAAGTAAAATGGAATGAGAAGATAGGCTTTTCAAGGTCCAAAAGAAGGGAATTAAATCAAGTGGATTGTATTAAAATATTATATAACTTATAGTTTTAATTCTCTAAATACTAGATGATAATACTTGTTGGATTATCTTTATAACTATTGGGTTATAAATAATGTATTCCTTTAACTTTTATTGACATAAAGGAGAAATATGAATGTTAGTTTTTATCTTCTATGTAAATTTCTTGTAGTCCTTTAATGATAGATCCCAGGAGTAGTTATAATAGAACTATGATGCATTTAGACCAGAAAGAAAAAAAAAAGAACACATTGTGATAATTAAATTTTAGTTTTATCAACACTTACCTATGTATCAGACACATCAAAGTGAATCCAAAACCTCCAAAATACAATGTATTCAAGCTTCACAGGCCTAGCCGAATAAAAACAGGCCCGCGTGAGGGGGATATTAAGCAGACCAGCTCTTATGCGATACCAAATTACAGTTTTTACAGCTTAACTCGTTATAAGACACAACACACAACAAAAACATACGCAGGCATAAGACCTCGACGAACTCCTTTACCTAGTTTCACCTTGCAATAAGGATGTATCGGAAACTAGCTTTTAAGTCAGCTGAAACTCTTGCTCTTCAAAAAAAGTTAGCTGAAACTTATTGAGAACTAAAAACTTATAAACCAAGTAAATCAAAGGTGTTTGGCAAAATTAGCTCTATAGTTACCTGATAAATATAAATGATATAAAATGACAAGTTATTCGAGGTAAAAAAAATACTTTAAAATAAAATAACGAAAATAAAGAATAGCTTATACACTAATTTATTTTCACAATTTATTAAAAGTAACTTATTACAAATAAGTTAAAAGCCACAAAAATAAACCTGCATGTCAAACAAATTTATTTTTATAAAACAAACTTAAAATTTTTTCCAGTGTAACGCCCAACTCCACAAGTCTAACAAAAATAGCATTTAATCATATTTGTTTAAAACTTTAATTAGATAAAAACGCATGCCTTTTAATTTAGACACGTCTAAATAATCATTCAACAAAAACACAAGCTAAATAAGAGAAGTTTCTTCAGAGCTAAAAAGAGATCTTTGAACAATATTCATGTTTAAAAAAAATATACAACTTTTCTTCAAAGCTAAGTGCATTGTTTCCTACTGCATATTTAATTCAATTTATTTTGAATAAGCAAATCATTCGTTTTAATCAGCTTTTCGAAAAGAGTAAAAAATATTAAAAATACACAATTATTCCCAAATACAAACTAGCCAAACATTCGCTTAATAAAAACATCATAATTTTGTTTTTAAAATAATAAACGGGCCCTTAACTAACAAAAATAAGTATCGCCTAAAGGCTACTACTGCAAAACAATTGCCAATCAGATATTAGCACTAATGGATGCCCTCCAAAGCTCCAACGCTATTTTGTAAGTCTTTCCTCAATCCTACCTTAATGGTCACAATTTTTTACAGCATCTTAAAACATTGACTTTATCAAAATTCAAAACCTCTAGAACCTTTGACTTTTTGTAAGTTAGAACATAACAGCAGCAAGTTGATAAAAAGGTGGCATTTCAACTAGCAAACGAGTATCACTTAAACTGTAACTAATGTACTGCAAACAGTTGCCAAATCAGATGGCTATCCATAACCGCAACCTGCTGCTCTAAGCCACTAAGATCGGAGCAAAGGAATCCTATCAGTAAATTTGTGAGTGATTACATAAATCCCCACTCAAAAAGAAACAATTTTGTTTCACAACATGAAAGCTCAAAAAAACATGAGCAAGGAATTATATCTACCAAGCATTTTCATGTATTAATGTGATAAATAAGAGAAACAGCTATTAAACAACAGATTAAGCATCTGCTATAGGGAATATATATTAGAAACAACACAGTCACCCAGGAATGTCCAAAGTGCAATGATGCTTCTTCCATTCCCCATTTTCCTGACGGAAAACCTGTTGCATGACAAAAGAGCAACCATTCAGCGGAATACATTTAAGATGAACAAGAGACTAACAAATTTTTCTAGTCAAACAAGATTAGGAAGGCCTTATTTGACCTTAACAAAACAAAATACCTACGCAATAAATAATATAATGAAACAAGGCGAAATGTACCTATTCCTGATCATGTATAAAAACTAAAACATAGGGGGCAGACCATGTTGGAAGCAAACCTTTCTTTTGTTACAGCTTATCCAATAAACGTATGGCCTTAGCCAGTCTTTTGAAGATGTCTAAGGTTCACTTTTATTTTACCACCACCAGTCACTTTATAAAGTACTGTATTTAACAAGACACTTGAAAGTACGTGCCATCTTACGAAAATTCTAGGATGAAGTACTAAGATAGGTGGTATATCCATGAATCATCTATTTTAAATATTAAATAATTTAATGGGTGTGATTTCTTAATTAAAACTTATTTAGCAGGTTTCTTTCCTTTTTTTCTAACTGAAGCCTCTATATGCTTTTATGGCTAGCTAATCACTACCGAACATTTTCCGACCACCATGCCCGTCTCTCTTTCACTGATAAATTTACTACAGATAAACAACATCAACCACCACCAGATTTCTTTTTTTGGTTACAAAATCACCACCAGATTAAAAACATTATCACACACAAGTTCTTAAAATTTTTAATTTTTATTCAAAATCAAAAATCTTTCTGATCTCAAAGGTTGGTTAAAAAAACAAAAACTGAATGAAAAAAAAAAATATATTGCCACTCCAGCAACTTTTGGTAGCTCCTCCCACTAACTTTGTTGCGTGGAGCTTGAAGAAGAACGGTTAATTTTACAAACACACTTGACCCAAGTACGAGGCCAAGCGTTGAGGAGCTTGTGGAAGCAGTGTACGGTGGATAGAAAGAGCTTGAAAACTTCGACAAAAACATCTTTAAGGGTTTGTGATCCTCTGATTTAGGTTCCCAATTGCTTGCTAAAACTTTTCACATTTCACCATTTCTCTCTGGTTTGACAATCATCACAGTACAAACATTTTAAATTAAATTTAAAATTTCTATTATAAAATAAAAATTTAATTTAAAATAAATTATTTTGCAGATTAAAAACAGACTATCACCGATAAATTTCCTGCCTCATGGGTGAGGCACACAACAAACTACTTCATCCTAGAAGCATTTGCCATCTTATCCTATATTAGTTAGTTTCCAAGCTTGTCACAAAAGTTTTCTATCCAGACTCTAGTCAGGGGGAAAAGAAAAGATTATAAATGTGTATATTTGATCAGACATTTCCATTTATTATATTTCATTTTATTTCTTTACTCATAATTCCTATATCAACTGATAATTTTATATGTCCAGGACATTTTCTTCTCACTGTCTCAAATATTTGATTCCACCCCTCCTCCTCAATTCCATGAACATATTTATGTCTATTTTTCTGCACTAATAAAGAAAATGTCAGATCAAGTTTATTTAAAACCCACCACCACCAACAATAGCCTTAACTTACAGGTGAAGTTATCCTAGATGGATCACACAACACCATTAGTTGGACATGGTTAAAAACTAAATTCTCAAATGTATTATTCACCATGAGATCCCTTATAATAATGTCCTTAAATGTTATTCTTGATCTCTCAACCTTTTTTCACAAGTCTAAAATCATGTGATTTATTCTCTTTACCAGTGCCTCTGGTGGCTTTTATAGCACGTGTCTGAGCTACAGTAACCAAACTTCTGCCACATTTTTCTCAATAGGTATCACACCAATATCTTCCCGTACACAATCACTTTGTACCCTATCCTTACATGGCCAAACCATCCATCTTAAAATACTCATTTATACCACTCACTTTTTTCTCTTCTTATCCCTTTAAAGCTCAATATTTATTACATAGAATAAAACTTCCTTTGAAATTTGTAAATATGTAGTGGTCACAAATAATTTCTGATGTCTTTCTCCATTTTAACCACCTAAGTCGTATTTTGTGTGATATTTTCATTCACATCCCCATCATTTTGTAATATTGATCCGAATTCCCAAATACTTATTTACAACCCAGTAAAAAATTTCACCAAGAGAAGTAAAGACATCCTTTTTGTAGACCTACCACATATTACATACCTATGTAACAAGAAAGCACTTCAACCAACATAATTAATTACAAGTGATTTTAACCATACCTTCAACTAGTTGATGGGAGAAACACCCTTATAAGTTCTTTCACTACGATCTTTTTTCTACAGGTAGGGCATTTACCCTGAGCACTTATAGCAGACTTGATGCAATTCTTGCAAAAAATATGACCACACCTTGTCGAAGTTTCTTCTACCAAAGGACCTATACATATCGGACAGTTGAAGACAGGCTCCTTTGGTGGTTCAGGTGGCTTTTTCTACAAAAGAATTATCCAAATCAAATTATAATTCCAGCAAACCTTCACATTCATCTATTATGTTCTATATTTGTTCTCTTAAGATCTGTCAAAACAAGCAGTGATATCCAAATGCCAAGTTTGCAACACATTAAATGTATGTAAAAAGTTTTCAATTGAAAAACACCCTACACTCTTTTACCCCTGTGATACTTTAAAATTTTCAAGCCATTCCAGCTTTTTTTTTTCCACGGTAACCTATTCCCTCTAAAGGAATTAGCACTCTCCCCTATCCAATATTGACTAAATCCCTAGATTGCAAACAACTATAAAAAGGGTATTGGTCTCAACTCTCGACCAACTACTATAACTGTGTAATAAGGCATGGAAATATGGATACTGATTCCAAACAACTATTTGACTAAATTAAACTGAATGCTCCCCTATTCCAAAAATATAAAATAAAAGAAAAGAAATAAAAAACACAATACATAAATTCCTGAAGATTGTAATCAGAAGCAAATGACAAAGAGCTAAGGCCAAATTATTTATTACAAAGAGAATATTCAATCATTACAATTTTCACAGCTATTTTTTTCAGTTGACCAAAAGATAAATGATAAATAAGTACAGAGCATAAAACAATATGCCATTAGAGGACTTTTACCATAGAACTGCCACCACCTTCCAAATTTATATATTCATCACAAATAATAATTGTTGGATTCGATTGTCTTCTGCGTTTGTTTTGATTATTGTCAGCTACCCTAGTCGGATCTTCTGCAAAACCATGAATGGCATATAAGTTAGCCACCATTATAATAAAAAAATCATAGTGAATAATCAAGACCATATTGAAAAAAGAGAAATGTTGGGGGAGACAGTAAACTCACATACAGCATACCATAAAAGCAGATTGAACAAGATATTCAGCACAGCATCACACATTATCTCAATTTTCTCTTCATAAAATTGAAAACCAGAGTTTGAATTTACAATTATTGGCTTTAGCAACTTCTAAAGCCTGCTTTTATAAGTTAATCAATCGGATACAGTAGTTAGTACAAGACCCTGTAACCCAACCTAGAAAAACATTGGGGATAGTTAGGTGAGGCACTGCTGAAGTATATTAGATAGATATTTGCACTGAAGGGGAAACATTGGTTTAATTTAATTGTCACCAATAATACCACACTCCCTCACATGTACATAGATCTATCATACCCAGACTTTGGCTATAAACAAATTTCCATCACATCTGCCGCTTGAGTTCTATTATAATAGCAATTGATTATCTTGATTGAGGCAAGTCTGGTTATGAGGTTATCTTATCTGAAATATGTTGACTTCTCCCAAAAACACAATGTTCAAATCAGCACAACCTGGTGAGAAAAAGACTTGTGAAAGTGGAGGATAACATTACCTGAATCAACATCAACGATAGTCCTCCCACGATTTCTTCTTGAATAGTTTTTAGCCTAAAATGGATAACAAGAGACGAAATGGGATTAATTTCCAACAATGAAACACAACAAATGAAAAAATAAAAAATACAAAACATGAAGGAACATAAACCTCAGCAAAAGCAGTTGGGGTACATTCAACAACATCATCATCAATAGCTTCCACGTCAATCAAGGGAGGTTGAGGAACCTGCGGCTGCTGTTGAACCTGAGCTTCCTGAGGCCCCGACTGATTCGAAGGTCCCTCCTGCTCACGATTCTCACCAGTCGGCACACGGTTAAGATCAAGGTCCAAATCTGCCTTTCTCCGCCGGTAACTTCTCACAGCAAGAGCAACCCCTTTATTTGTCCGCGAGCTCATCCTGGTACACTATTCCCGTTCCAAGATACAATTCTTCACAAACAATGCCCTAAGCCGAAGGTCTAGGCATAAAAATTAAGTAACTTTCGCGGTCAGAAGACAATCACAAAATCAAAAAAAAAAAAAAAAAAACCATATCTAAAAAATCAGAACACAGCGCCAGCATTACAATCCGCACAAGCACACAGTGATACAGTACAAATGAAGACAAAATTAGAGTGGCAGTTCCATCGCTATTCCTGACATGACTATAGAGCTCCAAAAACCAACACGGTGGTGGAGCGTGTTCACTCCGGCGCAAGATACAGCGTCTTGAAGCGACAAGATCAAATTATATCGCGCATAAATCATCAATTTATCAGCGAATTACGCATAAAATTAAATTGATGGAAATTGAAGCAGCGACATACATAATAAAAAAACAAATCGAAAGTGAAGAGCAGCGATTGAAGCAGGGATAGAAAAGAAAGCAGTAAAGAGAAAATCAGAAGTTGCGAGTGATCGAAGAAAGAGAGTGAAACCCTAAGACGTACCGGCACGAAATGAAGGTGAAGAGAGGGAGAGATAGGGTTTGGAGGAATTTGAAGGGGTTATGATATGACTTAAAAGGGGGTGAAAATGGAGGAGGACAACCAAACAAAACTGTTGTGAACGGAGAGAGGAACCACTCGGGTCCGGACCTGTCACGCGCTTCCACTCAACCAAACGGTTGCCCGAACGTGTCAACTCACCACGTGCTACTTCAATTTTCGAATTTCAACCTAGCCTTTTATTTATGATATTATTTATACTATATATAAAGATATATTTTTAATAATTATATTAATTTTGACGTTTAATAAATTATTATATATTTTTTAGTATTAAAAAACTAAAAAATTAATATTTTATCAAATCTAAAATTTAAAATTCAAGATATTGAAATTTAAGAATAAATTTTAACAAACATATATTTATTACTTTAATTTTGTTTTTAATAAAAATATGAAATATTTCAATTTTACCCATATATGTTAAGAAAGTACACAATACCAATTATAACTTGGTGCCACATATCTCATAGATAATACTAATTTTTTATATTAATTAATATATATATTTCATAATATATTTATATATGAGTAAAATTTAGATTAAAAAATATTTTTTTTATAAGTTTCCTTATTTAAACTTTTTAATTTTTATAATTTAAAATATATAAATATTTTAGTCTCGATACTTATTTTTTTTTAATCTCTTTAAATTTTAGTCGGGACCTCTTAGGTTTCAAATATCTTTCTTCCATCTCTTACAAATTTTCTCTTTACGGCTTTCTTTTCAATCTCTGCTTCAATCGGTGCTGTTCACTTTCGATTTGTTTTTATTATATATGTTGGCGCTTCAGTTTCCATCAACTTAATTTTATGCGTATTTTGCTGATAAATTGATGATTTATGCGCCATATAATTTGATGGTATCAATTCAAGACGCTGCATCTGGAGCAGGAGTGAACACGCTCCACCACTCTTGGTTTTTGTAGCTCTCTTGTCATGCGAGAAAGTTTAGTATTTTAAAATACATTTTTTTTTCTAAAATCCTATTTTGGTCCCTTATATTAATTGTTTGTTTCAATTTAGTTCCACTTTTATTTTTTGTTTTAATTTACTCCCAAATAAATTAATTGATTTTAATTTGGTCCCAAATATATTATTTGATTTCAATTTGGGACTTCCGTCCAAATTATTTAAACGGAGTTAACTTTTGGTCACGTGGATGTCACGTGGATGCTTCGTGGATGCCACGTGGATGACAATTTTTTTTTAAAACACCTGGACACTGGACGGCCCGTTCTGAAACCGAAACGGCCCGTTCTGGTTCCACTTTTAGTATGTTAATTTTGCATCCGAAACAGTCCGTTTCAGGTGTAAAATTAACACACAAAAGTGCAACAGAACGGCCCGTTCCGGTTTCATCCTTTTTTTTATATATAAAATATTAATATTTCTATAAAATATATATTATTAATTGTTCTTACCGAAAATCTGCTGTAGAGCTGATCCGCCGGGTAAGATCGGTGAGCCTCCTTTGCTGATGTATTAGTGCTCCAAGATGGGGGACGTACCTGCAAAAGAGACTCCGATGCCAAAGTTAGGGTTTGCATGAGTAATAGTCTCATATATATAATGCACGTACCTTGAGGTGATCTAGGTTTGCCTTGGGCTTTTGGGCTTGAGATAAGATATATCATGATATGATATGATATAATTGAAGGGCGGATCTGGTCTGGGACGAGATCCTCGGAATCAGGTATGATTCGCTCAAATGTCGGGCTGACGTCATGCACCGCGTGCCCG